TAAAACATTACACAGGGTCAGTAACTGTCAGGGTGCAGATTTGGAGAACTGGCTGAAAGAACTTACCTTCCAATGGTTTGAAAGCATCTGGTGCAGCCTGCAATATTGCATGGTATCATTGTACTGCTGGAATAATAATAATAATAATAATAATAAATTAAACACTTAGCTATTGATATTTTTTTGTGGAACATAATTAAGTGTTTTATAGTCCTTTTTTGAAATAAGAATTAGCTTGTATATAAAGTCATTCATTTAAAGTTATTGATACTAAAATGAACTGTCAAATAATATCTAATAATGATGAGAACTCTCAGAAAACTCCAACTCTTTCTCCCCTCGACACCCTAAAGGGTACAAGAAGGATGAAAAAAAAATGATGAGAACACATGAATTTTTTGTTTGTTGATACTGAGTTGTTACTAGTATTTTTCACCTCTATCTAAATTCTAGAAAAAAATTGTTAAAAGATAATGAAAAGCTGTGTTTTTAAAATTATTTCATCATGTAAGCAACTCTTCATTTTTGAATGGGCAGGGGTCTTTAAACTGTAAGATCAGTGTTGGAATGTTGAATAATGCAGACAATATAGAAAGACAACTAATGTACTTAAATAAACCCTTGTGCATGAATTTTATGTACTAATAGGCATACCTGCCATCTTCAATGCTGCCTTCCTCCTCTCCCTCTCCATTAACAGGGATCAGTTTAGCCTGCAGAGAGCACACTAAGTCACCTTCCTCAAACAGGGGGTGACACGGGGGAAGCCGCCTTTTCACAGGTTCCCAACTCCATTTAAATGGCGCACACATGCTGACATTGCCAGTTCTTATTCCTGCGCAAATATAAAAGAAGTTAGTCAAATGAGCATGGGAAAGTGGAATGAGGTGTGCCTTAGTTCTGGGAGGCACGAAATCTACAAGAGTCAAAGTAGTGGTGAGTGGAGGTGGGGTGGGGGGGGGCGAACGAATGTTTTTGAAAATCTCTGCGTTTGTTTTGTTCCTGTAGGTAATACTCAGCGTCTTGATATAGAGCAATATATATTTATTTTAGCGATCGATCGAGATTCTTCATAATTTCTAGCCCAATCACATGATATGCATAAACAACTTACACTTTCTCAAGATCCGTATTTCCCCGTTTAGCTTAGCGCATGCGTACAACATACTTCCGTGGAGAACGTGTGTGGGTTGAGGTCAGAAAGCTTACCGAGTGATCAAGTTTATTTTACGGAAGTTGAGTGAAACAGTCATACAGCCAACGCGTCATGGGAAAGGACGTAAAGAAAGTCGTACGGGTGGGAACCCGAAAAAGTCAGGTAAGGGTGAATTACGAAAAACTGGCCCATAAAACGCGATTGTGTAATTTACCTCGAAATGTTATGTACATGATCCACATACTGTAGCTTACATATACCTGTAAACCCGATGTATCATGTACTTTAGTGAGATGATTCTTGATGTCCCCGATGCAGTTACAAACCCTTGTATGGCTTCAGGCTTATGGACAGCAAACCAGCTAACAAGACCAATGTTATTTTAAAAAAGTTGGCTTTGATAAAAATAAGTAAGACTTGACACACAATCATATCAGGTCTATATATATACTGTAGTGGTAGGGAACAGCTGTTTAAAATTCCCACACATGGCACAAGATGTTAGTGGCATCTTGTCTCAGCTTAGTCGGAATGATTGGGCATTTTCTTTTGAAGCTGGGTGTTGTGACATGAGGAAATCTCTTCCACTACACCATAATAATAAAGATACAATGACAGTGTACTGTACGTTTCATTTTTAAAAGTAATAAAATTAAATGGGTCTGAGCATGATTGAGATTGAGAAACAGGTCTTTACTTGTTGCTCAGAATCATTTAATTTTTTTACCAGTGTATCATTGTTTGACCTAATGAAAGTAAATAAAAAAACTTAGTAATGTTTTGAGAAATATGACTTAATTTAGCCAAGAGGGTTAGACTATATTCGCAGGTGTGTTTTAAAACATGGTAGTCCAGTCCTGTGATACATCCATTGAAAACCATAGTGCATTTCATGATTTGTTGGTGGAACTAAAGCAGAAACCCCTTCATTATAACAATGTTGATTTATGTACAGTATAGAAATGCACACAGTATGACACATACAATAATACTGTTATTACATGAGTTATGTAAGATAACAAGAAGGCCAATATGAATATGATTGCTTTATTTTCTAATATTCAGTGCGGCAGTAGGTATGTTATGTGAATACCTGATGAGGAGGACTAGACATGCGTGATGTGTATGTAATCTAATACTAACAGGTGTAAGGGACAAGAAGAAGAACGGAGGAGATGACAAAACTGGACAAACATTGATCAAGTGTTCATAATACTCAGTAATAAACATGCTTTTAGTTAAGAGTCAGGGTAGTCACTGTTAAATAAAAAAACTAGTCACTGTTTTACTGAAACATGTATTTTGTGTTGCTTTTAAAAAATCAAATTTTTGCAAAGAATGCATTGTGCTCACTGTCTCATTCTATGGTATGTGAACAGTCTTATCTAATAATTATGTATATATTCTATAAAATAAATGACTTGAAACAAGTGATCAAAGCATAAATCTTTTGTCTGTTACAGATAAATGTGAACTGGCATATTTTTCCATTAAGACAGTCTAGACTACTGAAATAATCTCGTCTGATTCCACAAAGACAACTGAGATAATCTCGCCAGATCTGTGGTGATATTAGCATAATAGAACTCTAGTCATTTGGCATCATTATAACACAAATGACAGCTTGTTTGCAACATTAACACTAGTCCCACACCAAATGTCAGTTGGAAGCAATTTTTTGGCCTGACAAGTAAAATTTTTGAATTTTGTTCAGTTACTGGTTACTGTTTTTATGTAAACTCACTATATTCTTATAGCCTGACGGCCCAAGGTTTGGGCTTAAATGTTTTAGCACAAACTGCAAATTATGCCTCCTTTACTTAGGGTAAAACTTTCAATTCTCTGTAATGTTTATTTTGATAACATCAGGCCAAACTTGATGCTACTGTATACAGTTTAGGTAATTTAAACTAGTTCAAGGTCTCTAATGATAGTCTGTCTATCTTTTTAATTATCTCTAATTGTCATTAATAGAAAGGGAGCATGGATAAACATCACGTAATAGCTACAACCAGCATGTATCTTGCTGAATACAAATTCAAATGTATAAACGCTGACTGTTTGTCGGAGAACTACACAGATCTCAGGTGTATGAGTATTATGTCAGTGTTATATATATGTCTCATTCAGATTCTCCACATACAGCAACTAGCAGGTGCTCTGTTGTTTTATTATCACTAGCATTATCATATATATATATGATGATCATTGACTGACATAGATGATTATGGCCCTCTATTCTTCTCCATCCCTGGTCAATCTCAGCAGCTCTGTAATAGTAACACTTTCCAGGTGTGTCCATTCTACAAGACTGTTTTTATACTATATTAAAGTTCATGTGAGGTTTTCTATTTATAAAATAAAACCATCAAATGTGGTAAAATAATTTCTAAAAAAAAAAAAAAAAAAAAAAACTTAATCATATATTTATATATGGGGTGTGTAGAGTAATGTACTAGTATTGGTCCTGTAGCCTAACAGGTCAATGTAAGTCCCTGTTTGCTGAACCGAGAAAAGACACCTAATTTTAGTTAGTGTAGTCTGTACCAGGCTATCTGGTTGGTGTCATCTTACACTACAGTACTAGTATATAGCTCTGTCCATAATCAAAGATGTCCAGTTTATTGGAAAAAAAAACTCAGATGTTTCAAAGTGTCGGTGCGCCCTTTCTTGATTATTATGTTGCACCACCCTTTAAACAATAAAAAGAATTTGTGTAGTCTATTATTTTCTTTCCTTTTTTTCATTTCATTCATTTTGTAAGTTTTGTCCCCTATGAAGAAAAATTATAGAAGAGAGAGAGAAAATGAGCCAGTCACTGATGAAAATAGTAAATATTTTGATTCTCTTCTCTATATTTCTTTTGATATATGATTTTTTTATATTTGAACTGTTTCAGCTTGCCCTTATACAGACCCATCATGTGATAGATCTGCTGTCTAAAATATACCCAAATATTGAGTTTGAAGTCAGTAAGTATGGCACATGTATAAATACAAACAATTACAGAATTATTATTGTTGAAATGCATGTACTAGTACTAGGAGGTGAATGCTGGTGTTCTGTACTTTTAGGCCTTTCTAATCCTTTGTGTGCTTATAAAATATAGACAGGATTAGCTTTTGAATATAAGTTGATGGGGCCATTCAGAGTGAGTTAGGTTGCACTAGTTAGTGCATTTCAACTCCACTGCGGCTCTTGCTGAATGCAATCAGATTAACAGACTGATATGTCTCCTCTTTTCCATCATGCTTTTATAATCATCAGCTTCTCTGTATTCTTCTCAAGACCAGGTGTGTTAGTCTGTTAATCTGATTGCATTCAGCGAGAGCACTAGTCCCCCTACTTGTGCAGCCTAACGTATTCCTTCTGAACGGCCCAAGATGAATGTTGCTTAATTATATTACCTAACATTGTTGTCAAGAATGTGATGTTGTGTGTCTATTCTTCATTGTACTTTATCTGTTAAAGTTGATTTTTTGTTAGATTGAAGATGAATTTTCCCTCTTATGGTGGATCTGATATCAGATAAATTAGATCATAAAAATCACTACTTCCATATTTGATAATTCATGTTGGTCATGTTTTATAGACAGAATTAAGTAAATTTTTATTCATTTATATCATAGTAACACAGGGAACTGGTGGTGGCTAGATTAATATGACTATAAGAGAACCAAGCACATAAAAAGAAAATAATAAAATTGAAAGTTGTTCATTTGTATGCAGAGATGATCACCATGTTTTGTTATCATATTCCTGAATACATATTGAACACTGTCGTATGAACTTTCTGTTGAGTTTGTTCTGACAGTTGAATTGATGACTTTTTAAATTTTTTCAGTTAAAATGTCCACAACTGGTGACAAGGTTTTGGATACAGCCCTGTCTAAGGTACATATAAATTGTCAGTTTTTTAGAATGATATTCATCAGGTTTTCCAAACTGTTTCACATGTTACCTGCCTTTGATTTCTCTTCATGGATATAATAATTTAAAGTGTGTGCATTTGCATGTCTGTGTTATGGCATAATAATTTTTATGCTAAGAGAAAAATGCTGCTGTTTGTTTTATCTTGAAAAAAAAAGTAAAATGTTCAGGAGAATTGGACACTTATGACCAGGGTTTGCCTAAGGTCAAACTATGTACAAGTTGGTCTTATACCAGTGGCACCTGAGGTCACGCACAGAAATGAGAAGTCACACTTGGTATAACTGACACTGGTGACACCTGGTGTCAGGTGCTGTATCAGTGACATCTGGTTTCCTGAAACAGTGAAAATCTTATACAATTTTATATCCATCATTCCTGTATTTTTATATATAATTTTTATACTCTTGATTTTTTAGATTGGAGAAAAAAGTCTATTCACCAAAGAGCTAGAGTTTGCCCTCGAGGACAAGAGAGTGGATTTTGTTGTCCATTCCTTGAAGGATCTTCCTTCTACCCTTCCTCCTGGCATGATCATAGCAGGGGTGCTAGAGTAAGTGTTAAATATCAGGACTAAAGCTTCTCGATGATCACTCTCATTTTAGGTTTTGAGTTTTATAAAAATAAAATAACTGAACTGATTTTTTTAATTCAAAATATTTAGATTAGATAAAAAAAATTGCTTTAATTTAGTCAAGATAAATTGCCCATATATCTTGGTTGAAAGACTAAATACAAGGAGGCAATCTGGTATTAAGGTTCTTTTTGAAATGTTGATTGGTTGGTTAGGTCCTAGTAGTCCAGTTAAGATTTAAGTCCAAAAACTGACTTTAGCTTTTTTTGTGAAACAGGCCCCTGATCTACAGAGTTTTCGTTATAGAAAAACTTTAATAGTTATTGTTCTGTTTCTCAGGAGGGAGAGTCCCTGTGACGCAGTTGTCTTCCATCCAGATGTGAAGGACAAGAAATTACAGAGTCTTCCACAGGACAGGTATAATGAAAGCTCTAGTTACTTTTAAAGAAAACTGGAGAGTAGTCTTAAAGGGTTTGCTTTGTTTGAAGATAAGTTGGAAGAACAAGTCAGGCTTTTGTGCCATTTTTAGTACTCGATTAAAATGGCAAATTTCTTTTTCTTTTCTTTTTTTTTTTTTTGCTAGGTTGTTTTGTCTGAATTAAAACAATTTTGAAAGATATTTTATTATATAAGAAAGAAATTTAGACAATGAAAATGAATACCTTTTCTGTTTTAGTGTAAGTAACATTTTGTAGTGGGTTTTGGATAGACTGAAATAAAATTATTTATGATACTATTATTTTTCATGGAATTTTGAATCGGGTGAAAGTCATGAAAATGTGGACTATTTTTCTGTTTCAGTATTTTTCTCATTTTTAAAATGGTTTTACATGAATGAAAACAACATGATTAAAGATATTTAGATGAATTTTTGAGTTAAGTGGAAATAATCAGTATATATTCTTTTTGTAGTATAATTGGCACAAGCTCCTTACGCAGGGCATCACAGCTGAAAAGACAGTTTCCTCAGCTCAAGTTTCAAGATGTTGTATCCTTTATTATAAATCTGTATTAGGTAAGCCTATTAAGAAAAGGAGGTATTAGTGAAAGAAGTTTGATCACCCTTGCCAATATGTAACTGCTTTAAAAAACGAACATACCTGAATAATTGCATACTAAGAGCTGAATTTCTACTTTCTTGCAGCTTTTCCTTCATATGATGCTAGATCTAAAATTTACTAGATACCTATGAATAGTTTGTGATAAAAAATTTAAAGTATTTTTACATGTTTTCCCACTTGTCATTCTTAAAAATAAAAGGATCATACCTGGATTCATATAAATTTATTGTGATCATTTCATTCCACCCTGAATAATTGTCTATCCTAAAAAGTTCATCTAAATATGTGAAGAACACAAAAAGTTATCTAACCTTTAAGGTACATACACACAGTCAAGCATACAAACCAATGACCAGAAAGCAATGAAAACAACCTCTTCTGTTGCTGGAGGTAAGGAGAGTATTGGTCCTTAACGCACTTTCAGCGGGGCAATCTGAACACGAGACTTCGTAAGCTGGACACCGGAGATACCTATTCAGCTCTTGTGTTGGCCGAGGCAGGGCTGAAGAGAATGCAGTGGAATGACAGAATTGATGAGGTATTTACCTATGAAAATATGAAAAAAAGATAACAGTAATAAATAAATAAAATAAAATAAAATAATAGTTAACCATGTTAAGTAAAATGTGACTGATTTAGTATGTCCACACTCCTTCACTGGGTTGAAGCTACCAGAGTTAATTGTCAAATGATGAAGCGACAGTTATTGTGTGTAGAATTTATGAAGTTCATGAGATTTTCCTGCTACTGAAACCATTCAAGTAGTGCACCTGTTTCCTAATTATTTCAGTTCATTATAATTTATTGTCGGCTAAATGAAGCTGGGATGTGTATAATTTAATGCATTTACTCTACTGAATGATATGTTCCTCTCATCTCTTCAGACTGGTACATATTATTGTGTGCCAAATGTCAGTCTATGATCGAAAAGGCTACAATTGACATACATAATATATATTATTGATTTTTTCTGTTTTCCAGGTCCTGTCCCCTGATGTTTGTATGTATGCTATATGCCAGGGAGCTCTGGCTGTGGAATGCAGGGACAATGACACTGAAACCCTGGAACTGATTAGTAAACTGCAGCACAGAGAGTCTCTTCTTAGATGTGTGGCAGAGAGAGCTTTCTTGAAGAAACTGGTGAGAAGATTGGCTGTTAATTTTTTTTCCTATCGTAAAAGCAGATGTCAGTCAGGGGAAAGGTCCTTTTGTATGAGATTGAATCCCCTTTTTTTTAATTTATAACAATCAATTAACTGAACTTTTAATTGGTATATTAGGAATGTTTGACTTTGATCAAAAGGCACATAAAAGGGATAAGTTTTCTTATAATATTTGAACATTAAACTTTTTAATGTATCTCCATAAACATACATTTTGACATGAATTCCCAAAATTTAGAACTTAACAGGGTTTTTTTCAGGTATTTCAGTACTGAAACTTTATTTTTATTTATTTT